ATTCTTCTTCTTTCGATCCTTTGTCCCTTGACTTCTTCCTTTCCTACGAGAATCCGATTCTCGCTTCCGAGGATACTTCCGATGGTACTCACGTACCAGTGACTCGCTGTTCGTCAGGTTTCCTTCAGGTTCCCAAGTGTTATGGCTCTCAGGCCATCCCTTCCACTTGACCAAGTACTTCCACTGACCTCTGAACTTTTGCAGGTCTATGATTTTCTCGACTTCGTACTCGTCGTCTTCGAGCTCTATATCGGTTGCTAGCTCGGCATCTGGAGGTGCTGGTTCCAGGAGTTTTTTGTGAAAGACAGGGTGGATTCGCATGCTTTGTGGGAGTTTTAGTTTGTAGTTCACTTTCCCGACTTCCTCTAGGATTTCGAATGGTCCTACTCGGAGGTTGTCTAGTTTCTTGCATGGTCGTTTAGTTTTCAGGTTTTGTCTTGACAAGAAAACTTTGTCCCCCTTCTTAAAGGTTAGTCCCTCAATCCTTTGCTTATTCGCGGCCCTGGATGTCGTGAGGTTCTGCTGAGCTATGTTCTTGCTTAGTTCTTCGTGCAATTCCTGCATAAGACGTGCTTTGTCTTCTGCGCCTACTGCGATACTTTCGATGTCTTTTGGGTCCCGATGAGCAACTGGCTTATACCCGTAGTTCGCGTAGTGTGGTGACCTCTTCGTCGTAGCTGACTTTGAGCTATTGTAGGCCAATTGTGCTGTCGGCAGGAGTTCAACCCAGTTGTCCTGCAGCTTGTTGGCGTACATCCGTAGGTACTGCTCCAAAGTCTGATTCGTCCGTTCCGTCTGGCCATCTGTTTCTGGGTGAAAGCTAGTCGATAGCTTCTTCTTGACTCCCATTTTTGCCAAGAACGTGTCCTAATACTTGGACGTAAACAGCTTGTCTCTGTCTGTTATGAATTCTTCGGGCATTCCATGCTCCGCTGTTAATGCTCTGGTGACTTCGTACGCGCATTCGTCTGCCGTAATAGTCTCCTCTGTGGCTCGGAACTTTGCGGCTTTGGTCAATCGACATACGATTACCAGTATCGTGTCGCAAAGTCGGCCGGACCTAGGTTCTCTTGATTTCGGGAGCTTCACTATGAAGTCCATCGTAACGCTAGTCCATGGTCGTGTTGGTGGCTGTAAGGGCTGCAACAGGCCATAGGGCTTATGTCTCTTGGGCTTGTTCTAATGACATGCCAAACAGTTGCCTAGGATATCCTGCACCGTCGCTCGCAAGCGTGGTATGGCAAACGCCTTCGCCAGTCTTCTAACCATTTCTTCTACTCCTGCATGTCCGTATTCTGGGGACTCGTGCAGTTCTTGGATGAGACTCGATCTCATGTGAGGAGGTACATATGTTCAATCCTTCGAAATCATATCCCGGTACTCTCGCTCGTCTTGTAACAATTCATCGGAGCCTTCGGCGTCGGGCTCGAATTGCCAGTTTGCGGCTTTCTCCTGCCATTGCTGTTGGAGCGTCGTGACTTGGTGAGCTATAACTTTTACTCGTACCAAGTCCGGCTGATTGTACCTCAAGGTACCGTCGGGCATCATCTTGAGTACTGCTTCGTGTGGTTCCTGGTGACCTTCTTCTCGTAGGTCGGATCTTCGGCTCAGGGCATCTGCTGCTCCATTGAGCGATCCAGCTCGGTGGGTTATCTTGAAGTCGAACTGAGCTAGCATCTCAGCCCATCGGACTTGTCGTTGGTTGAGTTTCTTTGTCGTCATGAAACTCGTCAAATTCTGGTGATTGGAAAACACTTCGATCGTGTGGGGCAAGCCTAACAAATGCACCTCCCACTGTTCAAAGGCATCGACTACTCCTAGTAGCTCCTTATCGTGAACATCGTAATTTAGCTCTGCTCCTAAGAACTTCCGTGAATGGTAGAACACCGGTCTCTATTTCTTATCTAGGCACTGCTGTGACAGTACAGCTCCGAGTGCATAATCTGACGCGTCGGTCTCGACTCGCGTTTCTCGTCTTGGGTCGTACATCTCTAGTACGGGTGCCTCCAAGAATGCTTGTTTGAGCGTCTCAAACGCTTTCTGGCATTCTTGAGTCCATTTAAACCTAATTTCTTTCTTCGTGATCTCCGTGAGAGGGGTCGTAATCCAGGAGTAGTTCCTGATGAACTTTCGGTAAAAGTTCGCAAATCCTAGGAAGGATTGCACGTCCTTAACTGTCTTAGGGGTTGGCCATTCCTGTACAGTCTGGATCTTCTTTGGATTCATCTTAACACCCTTTGTTAAGATAATAAAGCCTAGGTACTTGGTTTCCTTTGTATAGAACTCGCACTTGCTAGCTTGTAAGTACAACTTGTACTCCTTAAGCTTCCGCAGTACCTTCTTGACATGTTCGACATGCTCTTCCAGCGTACCGTTGGTGTATACCAATACATCATCTAGGTAGGCCGTAACGAAGATTCCTAAATATTCGTGGAGCGCCTTATTGATCACCAACTGAAACGTCGCCGGCGCATTCGTCAACCCGAATAGCATAACTGTGTACTCGTATAGTCCATACTTTGTCTTAAAGGCCGTCTTCCACTCGTGTCCTTCTTTGATTCTAATCCAATAGAACCCTTCGCGGACGTCGAACTTCGTAAACCACTTGGCTCCTTGGAGTCGATCCATGAGCTCTCCTATGAGTGGTAAGGGATATCGGTTCTTTACTGTGACCGCGTTCAACCGTCGGTAGTCGACACACAGTCGCCACTTCCCGTTCGGCTTCTTTACGAACAGTATTGGAGAGGCCATCAGGCCGTGTCCTGGTCTGATAAATCCCTTTTTTAAATTCTTCTAGAGGTAATCCCGCAGCTCAGCATCGTGCTCGGGCGATATAGGGTACATTCCTCCTGGGCTCAACTTAGCTCTATCTTCGAGGACGATCTCGTGATCCCAGTCCTGGTGTTCTGCTAGGTCTGTTGCTTCGTTTTCCTCGAACAGTTCTCTAAACTCGTTCGTCTGGTATTCTGTTGGTATCGCCAACTGTGGTGCCAGTCCGTCTTCCTTAGTCGCGACCTGCCGCATCCATATGACTCCTACTTTCCGAGGGTCCTTCACATAGATTCTCGCGATCTTATGTGGTGAGATCGTACCTATCCTCCCGTCCTTGGGTGAGCTCTGGATAACCGGGTTCGTCTCCTTTCGTACTCTAGCAACCTTGTGCACAGGTTCTTGGCTGAGTATTGTTTTCTTTTGCCAATCGATGGCCGGGTTGTGTTCTAACAACCAGTCATAACCTATGAGGATATCTTCCTCTCCGAGGTCCATTATGTTGATCTTCACGCGGCTCTTCCTGCCTGCCAATTCCATTGACACCGGCTTGGTTTCTAGCCTGATCATGCCGTTCCCGTATGCCATGGGGTTATCGTCGGCCAATACCACTCGCATTGGCACCTTCTTGGTCTGATGGGGTATATCGTATTTCTCCACCACTCGGGGTGAGATCATTGTTCGGGCAGCACCACTGTCTATGATCGCTGTCATCCTGTGTCCGTTCACTAGGACACTTGCTCGAAGTCTAAGATCCTGCGTGCCTACGCTCTTGACTTCCTTGAGGGTCGTTATTGGACTGCCTTCACCAGCGTGACCCTGTCCCTGGTGGCATCCTAGTTTTTTAACTGCTTTCCCCTTTTCTTAGGAAAGTATCCGTTATTGACTTTAGCATCAAAATGCGCTTGGCAGGCATAGTCGTAACAGAAAGACCAATGCATATAATCGTGGGGAACCGGTCCCGATGTCGCTGCTAATATGGCTTGCATCCGCGTCGTTGCCACCCTTGGTGTTTCTCGTCGGTGCATGCGACATTTCCTTGCCGTGCATTCTTGTGCTGATAAGGTGCTATGGTAGAAGTCGTCTACCTTCCGAGCATTCCTTCTTTGTTCCTTGTGGTAGTCGCAGTTATCTTTGCACTGAAACCAACATAGTTTCTAGTGTGCTTGCTGCTTTTCTCGTTGGTGTATGTGGCATCCATCCACTCGACACTTATTGTACCACAGATGTGTATGGCAGCAATCGTCCTCGTTATCCCTGGTTTCTTCCCGTTTCCTCAGGTGGTAGTCGCACTGCGTCCTGCAGTCGACCCAAGGTAGGCGCTCGTGTTGCTCCATTCGTTCCTTGAACGTGCGAGGTTTCGTATCCTCGACTTCGACTTCGGGGTCCCTGAAACTAGGTTGTTCGTGTATTGCTTAATAACCTATTTCTTCGCTATTTGGGCCCGTGATGATGATTCGTTCTTCGAGAGCGCAATCATCAGCCTGGTGTGTGGCGTCTCCGCACATCCAGCATAGTTGGTTTCTTAGGCGGCGTTGTACCTCAGCCCCTTCAACCCTATGGTCCGTTGGTAGTGGGTCGTCCCACTTGAAGTCTTTTAATCCTACGGCTTCTTGTACCATCTCGAAGGCTTCGTCTGACTCCTGTCGTGCCTCCTCGTACAAGTCCAGGTCACTAAGCGTGTCGTCGGGTTCCATGTCCCGTGGGTAAGGTGTTCCGCACCTAATCATCCCAATCTTGACTTGACCTTGCCTGACTTCGTTTTTTGGGCAGTCTCTGCGGAAGTGTCCTATTTCGCCGCATCGGAGACATGCTTTCTTCTCGTAACGCTTCTGGCGTTCTTCCTTGGAAAGGCCGTCTTGACCCTTTCCTCAGGCGTTCCGGTTCTTGTTTTCTTGCACCTTGCCTGTCATGATGGTGTCGCCATCTCTGTCTTTGCTGTGTCGTGGCTTCCTTGTGTTGGCCGGGGTAGGCTGGAATGAGCGCTTCTTCTGCTCGTAACGTTCCCATAGCCTATGGTCGATTCGCGTGGCCAGCTCTATTAGAGCATGAAGGGTTTCTGGTTTTTCGTGGTGTACAAGACCGTCTTTAACATTTTCCTTCAGACCGCTCTCGAACACGGTTCGCAGCGCAGCATCGTCCCAATTGATTCTTGCCTGTAGCTGTTTGAACTCTGCCGTGTATGCTGAGACTGACTTAGTCTGCTTCAAGCGAGTAATTGCCTTCTCCGCTTAGTTCTTTTCGTCTATTTCCCCGAAGATCCGTCCCATCTCCTTCTTGAAGTTGTCCCAGTTTCCGAATATTCCTTGGGTCTCGTTTTTGGTTCCGAGATTGTCTGCGTCCTTCAGGAAGTCCTTGACATAGGGTTCCATCCACTTGGCTGCCCTGCCTTTCATGTAGGTGCTTGTCACAAGGATCTTATCCTGGTCTGTTGGTACTCCGTTGTACTCGCAGTACAAGTCGATGTTGGTAAGGAATGTCCACAGTTCGGTGTGGGTTCCGTCGAACTTCTCAGGTGCCGCTATCTTGGGCTTCATGATAGACTTCTTCTCGTTCGGGGTGGCCATCAGCTGACTCGAGAGCTGATTGATCATATCCTGCATGCTGGCCATCTGCCGCTGCGTGATCGTGGCCTGTCGCCTAAGATTCCGCAACTCTCGTAAGTTTCGTGCGTCCTCGTCGTCATCTTCCTCATCACTCGGGGTCAGCATTTCGTCGTCGATTGCTGGTCGTGGCACCTGTCCGGGGCCCTGTACTGGTCCGCCGACATTGGCCTGTGATTGCGAGTGATTATGAGACATCTTGAATCTTAATTGGGCAACTGTTGGTTAATCCTTCCACAAAGGCCAATGGTGGTCAAAGTGTTACACGGGGTTGGGCAATACTTCTCTGATCTCGGTCCGGGTTAGGGCGAGTAGACTTAAGCGGTAAGCCGTGCGATTGTTATATGGCGTTATCGTGGAAAAGAGTTATAGGATTTAACCGAAAGAGTAAACAATCCATTCTATACTAAGATAGAATAACTAGTATCAATCTGTGTAAGAGATGAACTATTCTGAGTTGACCACAACGAGAGTAAATAATGAAATCCATCCATCCTTATATCCTCATTGCTTCAGTCCTGGCATCTGGCCAAGCCACTGGCATCTCTGATGCAGTTGGCATCTCCAGATGTCCTGGCATCTCTCGAGGACCTGGCATCTCCAGATGTCTCCTCTTGGCGAGATGCCAAGTCACGTGACCCCAAGCGCCCCGCGCTGATCACTTCCCTAGCGTCCTTTGACACCTTTGTTTCCTTAGGTTGACTCCGCAACCCTTTCATGAAAACCTGTTAAGAGGAATCCTTCTTGTTTGTTCGTAACAGTAGTAGTCCTAGATGTCCTAGCTTATAGGATTTTATAGTTTTAGCTATTAGCTACGTAAGGCTTGCTACAATTTACACACTTAAAGATAGTATAAACGCAAGGCTTACCTTTGCTTAAACAAGAGTTACACTTGTAGAGGCTAGTGTGGTAGGCTTCGCTGCAGATCTAGCAGGCTACTTTAGAGCATTTAGCCTCTAGGTGCCTAAAACCTTAGCATTTAGAGCACTATTTAGAGTTATTAATAACTCTTAGTTTCTCTGCTCTAAGGCTCTGCCCTAGAATACAGAGCTTTCCTCTAATAGCTCTTTGGGCTTCTTGTTCTGTAGCAAAAGCTACGCAGGCGGATCTAAAGTTTTGGTTTTCTCTTCTAGATTCTAGTGTTAACCAGAAGGGGCTGCCTACTACCTTTAGGCCTTTATTGAAGATTTCAATTTCCTCCTTTAGGACCTCTAGGCTATGGTTTGTTAGTAGTTTATGGATAACTACTTTAAACTAAGGGGTGATTAGTTAGGCTGCTTTAAACTCTGTGATATTGTCAGACTCTGAGGGGTTTCTAATCAAGGACTTGTTTTTTGGGTCACTGTGATAAAAGACTGTGATAAACTTAAGTATAGAAACTGAGTGTATTGAGTTGTTCTGTGTCCTCTAGCTGCGCGCACGCGCGCAGCCTTATGAGTGCTATTACCATTGCTTTTCTGTCTCAGGTACGCGGCTGAGTACACACACACACCAACTTTTAAGCAGAAATCTTTCATCAAAACTCGTCAATTTTCTATCAGATATAGGGGTAACACGTCGCGAGAAACCGATTTACGCCACCTCTAATGTGTGCAGCCCTCTCGTTGAGGTGCTAAAGGGGGTATTGTCGGTATTCTTGCGACGTGTTCGAAATGCGAAAATCTTCGAGAACGCACAGACCGCCCTGATAACTAATAGGGAGACTACCAAACGAAACCAAAAACAATTAAAAACACCAAATAAAACAACAAAAATCAAAAATCCTATATCTAAACGCCGAGACAGCCTAATCCCGCTGTGGCACCATATCCAACTGCTAGGACAGTCTTTGCCTACTGTGGCACAAAATTCAAAAACGCTATAACAGTTTTCTGGTCTGTAATAGCAAAATAAGTCGAAACGCCATGACAGTCTTCGCCTACTGTGGCACCAAATCCAAACGCTGATACAGAGACTGGTTACCTCTGTAGAAGCACCAAGTCGAAACGCCAAGACAGCTGCTACTCGCTGGGCACTAAGTCGAAACGAGAGAGTTACTCACTAAAACTTGAGATGAAGACTTATTAAAAATGAACGAGAGAGTTACTCATTAAAACTACCTAAGTTGAAACTTTTTCTTTTTATCCCTAAAAGAGCCCGCTAGAGGATTGCTTTGCTTTCTAACATCTCTTTCTGTTATCAAAATGCTCTTTAGCACTAGGCGTCTAGTAAGCGATAGCTATTGCTTACCTAGATAAAGGCCGAAGCACCACAGACATACTTCAAGCACAAACTCGTATTTGTAAATAAATCTAGTTAGAACGGCCTTGGCCAAAGTCTTACATAGCCTCGAGCTCACTAGACTCTAATGGAACAATAATAATAATACGCGGCTGAGTATCAGCCTCGCCTACAGTGCCCGTGCACCAGATGAGCACCATCGCCAGTTGAGCACCCCCACCACCACAACAACAAAACTTCAACGCGTCAAAACTCAACCAATATGGACCCGATTCAAGAAGCGATTGCAGAAATCGAATCGCGAGAACCAGGAGATAAATTCTCGTATCAAGCAATCGCGAAAAAGCATGGTGTAGCACGAATGACGTTGATGAGACGACACCGCGGCGAAACTAAGGCCTATGGCGTGCGCAACCTCTCCCTCCATCCACAACACGAGAAGGAGCTTGTACGATACATCGATACGCTTACCAAACGACGTTTGCCACCTACAAAGGAAATGATACAACGCTTTGCTTCAGATTTGGCTGGAAAGCCGGTTTCAGAAAGCTGGGTTGACCAGTTCATCCGCCGGCACCCCAACCATCTCATCTCTGCCCACAGCAAGGGGATGAGCAAACTTCGTTG